ATACACCAAAACCCTATTCTATTTATTAAGGCCCCTACATTACATACCTATACTAAAGCACCTTCCTCAGATAGCCCACACCAGCATCTGTGTACCCTCAACCATGAAGTCGAGAACCCTGAAGGCTAAGCCACAAAGCCCCAAAGTCTAAAGACAGAATCCACAAGGAAACGAAGACTAGCACGATTCACAATACTAGTCATCATGCAGGCAGTAACAATGGCAGCAATTTTCACGATAATAACGGTATTGTGATTCATACTATCAGGACGATGTTTTAATGAAAGAAGCAGGGAGAAAACAGTAATAGAAAGAAGCAGAAGAAGAGTAATGAATAATCATACGCTCTGCAGCACAATTGCAAACATAAAGCAAGTACATGCATCATCATGTTTCCTTAAACCCTAAACGTGAACATTCCAATCCGCAGGCTCCGAAGATGACCGGCAGCGACTACGCCAAGCTGGCACCTGTCGGAGCTGCTTTCGCCGCGGGCCAGGCCCCATTAAAGAGATTCAGAGGGTTTCGGGTTCAGGGGTTTAGGGTTTAGGGTTTAGGGGTTTAGGGTTCAGGGGTTTAGGGTTTGTATTGGGGCTTTGACTTTCGGTTTAGGGCTGAGGGTTGAACGGTGTCCCTAGAAAGCCCAATACTCCGTTATTCGGGAACAGACGTCAAATCTTCTGAGGGGCCGCATACGATGACAAAGCTTTGAGATGTATTCCTTAGTTAAGGGGTCAATGGGCTTGAGGTTGGATTTCTGTGCACCTTTCTTTTTTCATCGTCCTTGTATGGTCAGACAAAGCTTACCCCTAAGACCCTATTCTACTTACCCTAAACCCTAAACCGTAAACCCTAAACCCCAAGCCCCTATGAAAGGCCATACGAGGATTTCAGTGGGCTTCTTGAGGCTGTTCGAGGCTTTTTTTATGGGTGTTGCAAAGGCCCCTTTCGGGTTGATGGCTTTGGGGCTTCGGGTTCAGAGCTTTAGGATTTAGGGTCTAGGGTTCAGGGTTTTCGGGCTTTAGGGCTTCAGGGCTTGGGGTTTAGAGCTTTAAGCTTTGGGGTCTAGGGTTTAGGGTTTTTGGGCTTTAGGGCTTTAGGTTTAGAGCTTTAAAGACTGAGGCATTCAGGGTTCGGGGTTTAGGGTTTAGGGTTTAGGTTTTAGTTTTTGTGCGACACAGCGTCTGGGGGGGGGGAGCTTTCATCGAGTGTTGGAGGGCTTCCATACGAAGGTTGGACGGGGTGTAATGTTGCTATTCCCGAAATTTCCTCGATGTAAGTTTAGGGTTTAGGGTTAAGTATCGTAGAGTATACCCCAACGCCCTGTTGATACTATGAAGGCCCCTGTGGTCGTGTTGGGTGCTTGCAGGGTTGTTGAAGGGGTTTGGGGGTTCAGGCTGCTTTCCTGGTCCAAGCTTTATAGAATTCAGCGTTTGTTAGGGTTTGGGCCTTAGGGTTTTGAGTTTATTAAATAACCAAATTTTAATTCAAAATATAGAGATTCGTGGCTCAGGTGGCCTTCGGTAGGTTTCGATACTGCGCTCCCGTTCGGGGATCGTGCGCTCAGCGTGACGTTTGCGAGCAGCACTCACACGCCGTCGTTTAGTGTTCGGGGGTTTGGGCTAATGAATATGGCGGAGATAGCCCATGCTTACAGGATCAGGGAATGAGTAAGCAAATTCGAAGTAGGGATGTGATAAATCTCGCCCCACTTCTCATGTTGCTTCCTGCTCTGTCTACTTATGGTAACCTACCTACTCAATCCATAAGGTGCTTGTAAGACTACTAACAGCTATAACATCCCACTTACTATTTTTTGGGGGTATCTATGGCTGGACTTGTAATCGCCACAGATGCAAATTGCAAGGATCACAATGAATGATAATCATGCGGCTGTTGGGTACTGGTTTGGCTTTTTGAGCCTGTTGGACGAATGGTGGCTTTCAAGTATCTCCAAAACAGTGCCATGTGTGCTTGCCTTCGGTACGGGTGTTAAGATCCCCTAACCTCCTCGGGCGACAGTTGATGATACAAACCTTGCAGTACCCATGAACAGGAATATACCATAGTTCCCATAGTTTGGGGTCCTTAAGGGAATGCAGGATGTACATCATATCATCAACCGTGTGTGGCCCGAAGCTTGAGCCTAGGCACCAAGCCGCTCAATCCCTAAAAGCCCGTTCTACCAGTACTCCTTTCTAACATGGTTATACGATACACCCGATCAAAAAATTGTCGGAGGCCCTTGCATGAAGTTGTAAGTCTCTCGACCCGTAAAGCTGTTTTCAATAGCCTTAACCTTTCCCAGGTGGCCACTGTGGCCTCGCTGGGAGCCGTGGCGGTGTCCTTCACCCACGTGGTGAAGGCAGTTCCTGAAATGCAGGGGTTTTAGGTTTAGGGTTTAGGGATTGGGGTTGTTCCAAAGGTCCCTTTGGAAGGGGTCTATTCAATTATTCTGTTAGGGTATTTAAGTCAAGGGTTCGGGCTCCGAGGTCGTTCCCGAAAACAACCGCACACAGAATGATTGCACTTGAGTGCGTTTTTGATGCAGTGCCCGCTTT